GGATGGATGCCTTTCATTTAAATGCTGCCGTTCGTGCGCATTTTCCAACCTCTTCATAAAGGATAATTATTTCGATTCTTTCCTGTAGAGAGTAAACCATTTTTGCTATAGAATTACAACCACTGTTATCTCCTGATCACAAATGAATACCAGATGCTTACCGACTCCACTATCGAGTCGAATATTGTAGACAACGAGTGAAATATTTATTAAATTATACCTATCAAAACTTAATCTTGGAAATAAAGGCAAATTTAAGTTTAGGCTGGGGACCAATGAAGAAAACAAAACTAGGTACTTATTTGAACTATTTCTTTTATTTGAAAATCTTGCAAGATGCTACAGAATACAAAAATATTTAACAAACATTGCAAGTATTTTAATAATAGTTTAGTATCAGGTGTAAAAGTTATTAAAAAATAAATGAGACACTTAATTCAAAGAAAATTACCTAACATTTGAATATCCTTGAAAAAAAACATATATTGCAAGCAGTTATTTTAATAATAGTATTAGGGGTTCAAATTATAAGAATTGAATAACATTTTGTTCAAATACAATCTTCAGGACATTAACAAATACAAAGAATATATAACATTTAATTCAAAGAAAACTACTTATTATTAAAATATCTTTAGGATACTAGACAGGTACTGACTTTTTAACACAGAAGGTATATCTTACAATGAGTTTAACAAAGTTTAATAGGAACATGCAGATAACAAAGGGAGACCACTGTCAGAAAGCATCGATATGGTTCCAACTTATGCTCTTTTCACTACATACATCGACACAAATTTAGATGCTACGAGTGACAGGAGTCTCTGCCTGATATTCGCAGGTTCCTAATTCAAATTGCTTTATTGTTGAAAAATACATCTTATTGACAAAGACAGAAAACAAATATACACATATTTAAAATTTAAAAAAATGTGTACATACTAATATAAATGTATATCGTACCCAGATACAAACAACCGATTGCAACAATATTCATTAAAATTTATAGGTACGATAAACTTTGACAGAGTTTGAGAATGTGATTTGTCTTAATGATATGAACATCAAACTACGTTCAGTCTAATAAAATTATACGATCATTAGATATTGAAAGATTTATATAAGTGTTCTTCCAACTGGGTGTTAGTCAATTACAATATAGAATTACAAAATATATAAAAATATAAATATTTGTATGAATTGTATTTAATTTAAAACTGGCTGAATGGCTAAGGATCTATATATATTTTTTATTATAATTTATAGATACTGTAAAATATAAGGTTAGATTTTTTATTTAAAATTGTACAATATTTATTGTATTATCTAAATTGGGCTTTTTTCTTTATTTTGGACATATCGAGAGCCACAATGCAGGACCTCGTAACTAACATTGCCACTGAAAATTATATTTTATGATAATCTCGTTTAAAAGATTTCACTCCATCTACTGTATAAATGAAGTATGTATTAAAATTTTTGAACAAAATATGGTTAAATATTAGTCCCATTATAGAGTAAAATGGATTGTTCTATGCACTTGTGAATCTTTTTTTTTTTGATCTCCTGAAAAATTTTGATTTTGCGACTTACGAGGTCTAGCCTTGTTGCCTTCGATATGTTGTTTACAGTCGTCAAAAGTAAATGTAAAATATATAAAAACATTTAGGTATAAATAAGTAAAATACATACAACTTAATTATATTATTTTTGAAAGAACTCTCGATCATTGCCTGATTAGAAATACGTCTTGTATTAGGAAAGTATTACATTTTTTTAACTATTATGCTTTATGAATTTTTTTATTGAGCTAGAATATACCTTGGTCTACTTATTATAAGGTATACTTTCCCTTTTAAAAATTCTATAGCAGTATATGAAATACAAAACATACACAACATATTACAAGTAGATATTTTGATAAGAGTATCAGGTGTACAAATTATAATAACTACATGCCATTCATTGACATTTAATTCTAAGAAAACTACCTATTTGAAAACATTAACGACACAGTAAAAATGTTCCAGCATTGATACTTATCATATTTCTCTTCTTTAACACAGGTAGAACTTGCTAAGGGAACGAGTGTAACATTGCATCATTTATACGTCTGCTGTCGTTTTTGATATCTGTATCACATTTAGTTTGTTTAGATATCTGCATTTCTGTCTTCTTTACTGTATTTCTGCAATTAAAAAAAATCACTATTTAACAGATATTTACATGGAAAGATTTAAGATTATTAAATTTGCATGCTTATAGCTGTGCTTGTTTATCATCATATAGGATGCATCTGATGAGATGTGAATTTTTATCACGTAACAGAAGATTAGGGTTAAATGTAGATGTAATAAAGAAACACTCTAGACCTACTGGCCATGTGGTAAAAATGACAATGACAAGTTTTATACTTTTTGTGTTTGACCTTTGAGTCATTATAATATGAATACAAAAGTAGTTGTCGTTGTAATTTTTCTTATGATTATTTACTTTAAAACTATTTTTTGAATTAAAATACCTACTCTCTAGTTACTGATGGTTAGCGATACCTATATTATAGAAAAAATCTAAATTTGAAAACTTAACAAAAATCAAACAAATGATCACTTTTATATTCATGAGCATATATGGCTAGCATAAACAAAGGATAAATCGATAAACCTGTAACTGAACCTGGCATGGAACGAATCCAACAACAAAAAATGTCATGTTTGACAATCCTCAAAATATCATTTTAAATAAAGAAAATATAAACAAACGCAGATGTAGTAGATGTGAATAAACAAATAATAATGCTCCAGAGGTAAAAAATGCATCAAATGTGCATATTCAAATGCAAGCGTATGAAACGAATAGTACATGACATTCAATCAAGTCACTTAAACATAAGAATGAATTCTTTTGATTCGTTTTCAATAATTTCTATTGGGAGATCATCTCCACTATCTAAATTGCTTAAAATTCTGTAAAACAGTGGTATAATATAGACTGCATAGGCATTATGTTTAAATGAAGTAGAAATAAACCTACCTAGCCTCCTTTGCATGAACTTCTGTAGCATGTTCTCTTTTTGATTACTTGGCAAAAATTAAGTAGCAGTAGCATTCCTTCTAATCACAGTTTTATCACTGACTAAAATTCAAAATGCTTCGAACATATTTTAACATTTTCTTTGTGTGATCTTCCAATACTTTTTATCTAACCTAAAACAGATAAAAATGAATAAATATAATTTATAACTACATGCTGGTTATGAAACACATTTAATCTGGTAACTTACACATTAATGAATGATTTTGGTTAGTTTTCAATAATTTCTTTTGGTAGATCTTCTAAAGTCAGCACTATTAGAACTGCTTAAAATTCTATTAAAAAATGGTTTGAAAAGTTTACTAAAAAAAAGAAGGCTTCATTATAAATAGTGTTAGCACGCATATAGGGTATTACCTATATTTAAATGAAATAGAAATAAAACTTACCTAGCATCCTTTGGTGAAATTTTCTGTTCATGAGCTTCTGGAACATGTTCTTTTTTTATTACTTGGCCAAAATAAAGTAGGAGTGGCATTCTTTTTAATCACAGTTTTATCACTGACTAAAATTCAAAACAAGAAATGCTTGAACGATTTTAAAATATTTCCTTGACATACATTTTCTTTATAGGAGCTTCCATTACATTAAGCCTTTTTTTTTAACCTAAAAGACAAATAAAAACGAATAATTATATATAACTAGATAAAAGGTTTTTATTAGAACCCCAGTATGGATACTGGGCTAGAACAATAATTAAATACCTAATTGATTCATCCAAAAATAATTGTTAAATACGGGTCTGTATTGGTGTTAAAAACTTACTTATGACAAGTTCTTCGGAATTATTTCATCGGTTTGGACAGAATAAAACTAAACATGTTTTAACCATTGTTTATAGAAGTCTTTAGGACGTCTTTAGGGATCAAAATAACTTTCCAAAACTCACAAAAACTTTAAAAATCGTACAAAAATTGCTAAAAATAACAACAATCACAAGACAACTAAATGTCAAATGTCACAATATTCTAACTAATGCGCAGACTCAAATCCTCCCCCGCATTTACGCTATCGTAAACGTTTTTGCTTGCCACCCGGGCAGCCATTTTCCTATCTCCCCTCTTCATATCTATGGTTCAGTATCAAAATAGAGGTGGAAGAAGTAGTAACGGCGGCGGAAAAAATTGAAACGACGTGGGTACTGGGTTCATCCATTATTTATAGACCCTTATGTAAAAGGCGCATTTAATTTATTAGATAAGGATTTACGTCAATACGAAGATAATTTCTTCAAATATTTTAGAATGAGAGTAGTGTCATTTGACGAACTGCTAGCGCAGATTCCCGAACAAATATTTTTTTTCGCTATATTATTTCAATTAACTGTTCGGTATTTGAGGTCGGTGTTGAATATCGGATATAAATTCATCTATATCAATACAACTGTCGGACATTTTGTCACTGGAACTGTCGAAAAGTTAACAGGAAACTCCAACTCCCAACTGGCGTTTCACACGCGACTTGACGTTTGTATGAGTGATGTTCCATATGAATCCATGATAACGCTGGCCGCGTGCGGCAGGAAAATCGCGAGCTTGTCATTTCTAATTTTTAGCCGCGTGCGACCACGCGACAGAACTGCGTTAATGGGCTTTGAGTCATTTAAAAAAATCTAAAGTATTGCCGCGCGCGATGCCTCGCGATCAGTCGCGCGCGATGCCTCGCGATCAGTCGCGCGCGACGTGTCGCATGAGTGGGCTTTCCCTCTAAGATCTAATATAAATACTTTTATTTCAATATCACCATAATATTGTACGATTGGCATAAGCTCGAATTTTCTTGACCAATAACTGTCTTATGAGAGAGTCGAAGTTGCCCTCTCTTTCAACTAGTTCTTGACTGTAATTGGCGAGTGCTGTATCAATGTCAGTATGTGTCATAGAAATTAAATCTTAACAAACTTGTAGCACTGCGGTAACGAAGTTCAACAAGAAATGCTCCGGTTCCCGAAACTATATGAAAAAATAGTCGACGTAGTCACTCAACTGCTACGTCGCAGGTTACCAACAACCAATTGTATGGTGGAAAATCTCGTTGCCATAGAATTAGCTTACATCAACACCAAACATCCGGACTTTTACAAAGATATCCAAATGGTTCCTACTGTTATCAAGTCGGCTGGAGAAAGTACCAGTAGACCTCCAGCGATTCGTCCTAAAAGCATGTTTGGGAGGTACCAAGTCGATTCTCAAGATTTGGTAAGTAAGGTAGTGTATCCAGTAGTTTTTTTTTATTTATTTTTATTTTTCATAGTTATTGTTATTATATTTTATTACAAATGTTTTTAATTTTTCTGTAGTGAGTACACTTAAAATTTGTCATCTCTCCCGTAAATAAACAAATCATAATAAGGGTAAGAATGAATTTTTACAATTGTGAATCTTATATTATGGGAAAACGTTTATTTTTGTTCTTAAATCATAGTCTTAGTACGTAATTCTTACTTCTCTCAAAGTAATCAACAAATTAATTAAAATTGTGAATTTAATATATCACAAGTTGAAATCCGAAAGGTCAGAATTATCTGAAATAAGTTGTAGAATAATTTGAAAATTCGGAAATAAATCTCAAAAGTCTCCCTACGAATTATTAAGACCATCCCCGAACTCCAAAGGTGAAAATACATGCTTGGAATTTGAACCCAGACATCCTTATGAGACAGTTCAATAATCAAATTATTTTCTAAAATCTCAAAAAACAAAGCTCAATTAAAATTAAGCTGTCACTTGACGCAGTCAATAAAATGTCTTAGGTTGCCAAACTTAAAGGTTATGAACCAGAATGTTCAATATCCACATACAATACACGTGTAAATTAAATAAATACAAATGTTAAGTGATTGTATTGAATAAAAAAACTCCTATTTATCCTTTCAATTCGTTATTTTTCTTTTTTTAATAGATTATATTAAAGGGAATAGTAAATTTTTTAATAAAAATTTAAGCAATAAAAATTTAAGCAGGTTATTTAATGTAAGAGATCCGACAACATGGGAAGAGCGTAGTGTCAGAAATATCTTTCAAATTCAATGTAAACAAGGCGTATATCTTATTATCCATTATGTCTTTGATTCCAATACTGTATTTGAAGATTTGATAACGAGTCTGAAACGGCGCTTGGCCCAAATTAGCACATCAAATTACTGTCTAGTAATCTCGACAGTCAATGTCGTCATGGTCTAGCAGTAAGGGCATTTGTGTACAGAACAAAGATGTCTAGTTTCGAATTCCAGCGGCGTAAAGCTTTTTTTTTTCAATGACGAAGAGATAACTGCTAATAAATATCGTGCGGTCCTGAATAAGACATATTCTAAGGGACACAGGGGGGTATAATATCTGCTGTTGTAATATGCCTATTTCATTATTCTCGTTTTATTTACAAAATTATTTACATATATTAAAAAAGTTAAAATAATTCAACCCATTTTACTGCAACTGAACCAAAAAAAAAAAATTGATGTAATTTTTATAAATTTATTCATTGATAAAAAAAAGTTGTATCTGCGTAAAATTATTCTCTTTATCCCCTCTCTTACTTCTCACCTTTCGTCTCCTCGCCGCATCACTACAAATAGATTGTATTGATTGTCAAATTATTCTTGGCATCGTGAATATCATATTTTATCAATGAGTGGTTATATCTGTTGTCTCTGGTGTTCACCTTTGGGGTTCAGGATGGCCTTAATAATTTGTAGGGGGATTTTTGAGAGTTGTTTCTGAATTTTCAAATTATTCTACAAATTAATTAACTTTAAATATTGTAGAGACAACATCCACTTCCCGTGGAAGAGCAAGGGGACTTCATAAACTATCTGTTCAGAATATTGCCAATGACTAGCTATAACGAATTTATTTCTATTATCCAGGTACTTGGACTTGTTGCAATATACTCATGTCACTTGTAGTATAGGTTTTTTTTAATATTTTACTAATATGGGTTTTCATTGCAGTTTATGGTGTCTTGATTGCTACTAATTTAATGATTGCTAGGAAGTTACCATAAATATTAGCCATTTCCTTTTATTTATTGGTTATTGTAACGTTTATTTGTTTAAAACAATTGATTTATTTTTTATTTTATTTATTTACGGAAAATCTCCTTTTACAAAATAATTATTATCAGTAGATATTTTAAACCTAACCTAAAGTATCACACAAAAAAGAAAAAAAACTTAAATATCTTATACAGTGTGTCGCATTTAAGATGAAGACACCCCTATATTTTGTATATCTAAATAATTATAGATTTGAAGTTTTGCACAGTCATACAGGGTGATGATTCACATTTTTTAAGATACTTAACTGAAATTTAAATTTTAAACGCGGCCTACTGCGAATCCACAAAATTATTAAAATTTGATTTTTTTTATTCGATAAACTAGCGTGCCATGGATAGAAATATTTTGACACTTGTGAAATCATTAATGTCAATCATGGCACACTAGTTTATCGAATAAAAAAACAACTTTTAATAATTTTTTGTGTATTTACCAAACTAATGAAAAAACTAAAAATGCGAATTTTGTCATGAAATTTGGTATGTGGGGTTAAAATAATATTCGGAACAACTTTTTCAAATAACTTTTTCTGATATCTCTAACGCGAAGAAAAATATCGAAAATTGATCCTGTTTGTGGATTCGCAGAAGGCCGCGTTTAAAATTTAAATTTCAGTTGAGTATCTTGAAAAATGGGAACCATCACCATGTATAAAGGTGCAAAATTTCAAATCTGTAATTATTTAGATAGCCAAAATATAGGGGTGTCTTCATCTTAAATGCGACACACTGTATATCACAAAAAACTTAGAACTAAAGCTAATTCGATAAGTACTCCCTCAGCTGATTTTTAAACCTAAACCGACCAACTCCCAAAAGATCAGTGTGTCTGTTAATTTCATTTCCTTGCCTTTGAAATCTGGTTAAAGGACTGTTGAGTCCGTCGTTCGTATGATGGAAGCTAATTGAAAATAATGTTTTCTCTCTAATATTTATGTTGTTTAATCTAAAGTTTATTAACTCCAACATATCCGGACAAGCTATATTCCTTCCAGGAGGTTTTAAAGATATAAAAGATTATTACTAATTAACGTGTTCTCAACTGACATTAAGTTTAAATGCTAAGCTCCCTCTTAGAAAGATAAGGCATGTGTAAGCTCCACTGACAAGTTCTTAGAAACCTGTTTTGAACTGCTTCTAAATTTAAAATATGAGTCTGGTAATGAGGTGACCAGACTGGTGAAGCATATAAGAGGATGCTGTGCATTAGTGTTAAGTAAAGGGTTCGGAATGTAGGCACAGAGAATTCCCTAGAGTTCCTGGTCACAAATCCCAATGTTCTCAGAGCTCTACTAATGATGGATCTCATGTGTGGGACAAATGTCAAAGAACTATCGAAAATCACACCTAGATCCTTGATTTCACTAACTTTCTCCAAAACAGTAGTGTTGATATTATAAAGAAAATTTATAGGGTTTTTTGATCTTGTGAAGGTGATTGAAAAACATTTACGTGGATTTAAAGATATGGCATTATTTAGAGCCTAATTAATTTATAATTTATTTATACTAGTACTAATTAATGTAGCTATATCTGTTTGTTGCGCTACACGGGCCACAATATTTTTGGGTGATAACTAGAGTCGCAGCATTTTTTAAATGCAAATAAAGGACAATGGGTGACTATAGGGATCCGTTTTAAATATTTTCCAAAAAAAAGGTCCTCATATTGTTTTAGTTTACATACTATCTAAAAAACAAAAAAAGGGCATCATGTTGTTTTAGTTTGCATACTTTCTAAAAAAAAGGTCCTAATAATACTGTGCAACAGACTGCTCCATAATATACAGTACTACCGATTACGTAAGTAGCAAGCGATCATTGGTATCTCCATCTATGAACGCGGGACGAACTGTTAGGTCTGCGATGTAAAGAATAAAGATAGCCATCTTAAAGATGTGTAACTTGTACACATTACTGTGCTGACCTGTATGCGATATTATTGTGATTTATAAAAATTAACATCCTATAAATGTTTGTCACAGGAAGTAACTAAAAAGAAGTACAAAAGATGTTTATGTAACTGCTGATTCAAGTATTGCAGCGTACATAAAACTTCATTTGTAGATATATACGAGGAATGTTAATGAATATGATGTTACAATGTAAACATCTATGGGATATTTTAGTACCGTTTTAAAAATATATCAAGAAAAGTCTCTATGAGAAACGTTACAAGAAAGACTGGTAATGTTTCATGTTTAGTGGGCTGCTTGGTAAGAAGGCAATCAGAATTCCATTCTCGGGCCATCTCGTTCTATAATATATTTTTTGAATTTGTTTTTATGTTGCCTGACTATCACGAGTAATTCTGCCTTCAATGATTTAAGAGTACTGATAATATTTTTGGAATTAAGCCATTTTGAAATATATTTTTTCCATCTTGGTATATAGTGACTCCTTTATTCGACTGTGATGCATTATTCAAAACAATAACATAGTTGGCTGGATTTTTTATAATGTTCTGAAATCCATTTTTAAACATAAGGGCCATCGATTTCTTCATGGTAGTCTTTTGTTTTCTTTGACTCCATCATTAATAAACCATCTGGCAAAAATCCATCGGTGCTTCCAATGTGAGTTATTATTAAACGATTTCCTTGTCCCGTTGGATGTTTTAATCCACAAGAGATCTCTTTTATAAAGACTTGTTTTTTAGTTTTGATGGAGGTGTCGTACCAAACTTTTGTTACTGAATGTCCAACATTAACCCATGTTTCATCTAAATAAAATACCTGTTAATGATGATTTCTTGCATCCGCTATTTTCCTTAAATAATTATGTCTTCTTGTCTTTCTCTGTTAAAAAGCTGTTTCTGTCACGTTTTTGGTAACGAAAATTTAATTTATTTAATATTTTTTGCAGTTGAAAATATGATATATTTGTAAGAGTGGGGCTATTTTCTATTTCTGAGTGTAATTTTTTGTGTGTAAGAATTTCATTTCGAAAGAATAAAGTTCTTGTTTCTTCCTGGGGACTTTTTCGGATAGGAGATTTCTTCAATAACTCTGTCTTTAATAATGTTATACACTGTCCGTTTAGATACTCCAGTATAGGTCTCACATAATATTTACTAATACAAAATTCCGAAATAATTGAAATACATACGATACGGCTATGAATAAATAAAGTCTGACTTATCTGTCAAAAGA